GAGCGTTTTTTTCTAAAAAGGGTTTTCCCCCCGAAAAAACCGCTTCCAGACTACTTTCACTTTCAAAATATCCTCTTTCTAAAGTGAAATTGGAAGATATGCAAATTCCCATTGAATTTGCATATCCTCTTTCGAAAATAGATCATAGTTTAGAAATGGCCTAAGTGCGAATGCACTCACAGTGATATTAAAATACGTGACAATAGCATAATTATTCCTGTACAGAAAAGGGGAATAAGATATCCCAGTATAAAAAGATACCTTATGCTGGTATAATTGTGTCCATCTCAGGAGCTGTACCAGTATAATCACCTGTCTAACCAAAACAGTTACGCCAGTACAAAAACTACAGAGGAGTCCTTATAGCCTCATCCTCATTACCTCGAAAGGCCCCATTACAACACTCTGACAGTGCAAAGTGGTTTCAAAGTGAGTCAATGTAATTTATGCCTACATTAAGACTTTAATGTAAATGAGGGTCCGGCCCTTCCGGTATTCTCTCATTATATAAATTCCTGAGGGCCCTGATCAGTTTGACATACAGCACTGGAGCCTAGATATAGCGATTACTGGGATACTCTAACATACGAGAAACTACAATGTCATTATTAAAAGGCAAAAACTAAATTTGACATAACAGGAACACATTCATCAGTATGGTTTGTTTTGTGCTACTCCAGCAATACAAAGCAGAGGTAAACATGGCATAACTGGCATGTTAAATTGGGTTTACAGCTATTTTGCATTTCAAGACAGGTCAAAGCATCAGGAGCACAGAAATGAATCTGGCCTCAAAGTTTGCAATTACTGTCCATTCAAAGAGAGCTTGCTAGATGGCAGAGGCATGTCTTTGTAAATCAGTAGTAGGTATATATTTAGAATCCTTGGTAAATCATTAACTTTATGAAAAGTTACACTAAAATCAGAAGCAGCAGCAACATTAGGAACATCACCCTAGACTTCTGTTTGAGAATTGCCAAATTCCTTACAAATATCAAATGTATTATAGCTTGATTCGACTCTGAAGATTTGGCTTTGCAAAAATGGCATAAAGGGGCTGCAAATCTATTGACTCTGGATGCTTTCAAGGTCAAGTTTGCAGAGTTTACAATCAAGGGATTTTTTTTCTTAGCTAACAGCTTTGCATACTCCACCTGGAATCTGAGAGGCAAATTTTTTTCCCTTGGAGCGTAAAGATTCTATAGGCCACATTAGACCCTCTCCTATTCTTGTGCAACACCCTTGTTGTCAAGTGGTTCGCACAGATGTAACTGTTTGGAATTTAGTAAGCAGGTCTGCTGCTGATGCACTGGAAGGAAAAGAATCTACACCACCCGCGTGAAAGAAGTGAAGCAATATTATCTCTATTTTATGGCTGGAGAAACTGAGACTCAGATCTGCTGGGAGATATGTCCTGTGTATGCTCGGTCACATTTGTCTGAAGAGGGAACGGAACCCAGATCCACTAGCTCCCTGTTTTGTGCACTGATCACAAAACTATTTTCCTTTTCTTTTTTGGAAATAAAATTAATGCAACACATATTAAAATGAGGAGGAGGGAGCACCACACTATTTCCAGGGCTACACTGGCTTTAGAAAGCAGGTTCTGTCTCTCAGTTGCATATAAAAAAAATAAAAAAGTTATGTCTAGCTTTCAAATCTTCCATTGTGCTTGCTAGACAAGCAAGATCATAGTGTGGTGAAATGCTATTCCCTATTAGAGTTTATTCATCAGCAAGAGAAGGACAAATGCAATAAGAGAATTACACAACAGTTCAGTCAGCCTAAGGTCATATTATGTCTACTGAAATCTCACTGTATTTAGGGACTGGCAAAGTAAGTCATTAATCCAATTAAGTAGACTTGCAGATAAATGACTCTTAAAACATGTAATTGGATAAACTGGTTCTCTCTCAAAAATAACCTTTAATGAATTGACTTTACTACTCTAACGCTGAGTTAATGGCTCTGAGCCTTTCCTTTTGGAACATTGACCAGGACTACAGTGTCAAGTGGAACGACAAGAGCATTAACCAAAACTGTAATCTCCTCAGCATCAGCTTAGTTGCCATAGAGAGCAGTGGCAGATCTCATTTACCTGACACCCCTGACCTTTCAATGTGTCCACTGCCTTCTTAATTGCTGGGTTTGGCGGCTCACACACCTCTACCTGAGTCTTCACGTTTTGCTCAAAATAGGGACCGATCAGAAAATAATTTTCACCCCATTCATCAGCAGTAATTTTGGCTTTTGTCTGGATCACAGTATAGATGCCACCAACTGTAAAAGAAAATAAATTAAAAAAGCATCAGGATGAGATGGGCATTTGGTACCAAATTCATTTTCAGGTCTACATCTTTCTGGTAGTGGTAGAAATGTAGCCGTGTTAGTCTGGTGCAGCTGAAACAAAAACACAGGACTGTGTAGCACTTTAAAGACTAACAAGATGGTTTAATAATAGGTGATGAGCGTTTGTGGGCCAGACCCACTTCCTCAGATCAAAAATCTGAGGAAGTGGGTCTGGCCCACGAAAGCTCATCACCTATTAAACCATCTTGTTAGTCTTTAAAGTGCTACACAGTCCTATTTTTTGTTTCATTTTTCTGGTAGTGTGGGTCAGGGACACTTCCAGTGTAATTACTTTTCATTTTCAAAATTCTGGGTGAAATCCTGGCCCTAGTGAAGTAAATGGAAGTAGGAGGGGGTTTGCCATTAACATCAATAGGCCCAGAATTTCATCCCCTATATTTAAAAATGGGATGCTATCACATGCAGTCCTCATGTGGTAATTAAGTTGTAATCCCATAGCACTTTGCCTAAGCATGGGAGAGTTAGCTAAATATCACTTGGGTTGTTATATAGGATCTCTCAAGTTCTATGTGAATACAGTATAATTTTCACTCAACTTAGCTAAATATCACTTGGGTTGTTATATAGGATCTCTCTAAAGTTCTACGTGGATACAGTATAATTTTCACTCAACTGTTATCTGCTAGATTCTATTTTTGAATGTCATGCCCACTAATGTGGAATCAGCGCATTGTGCTTATTCTCAGACTTTTGTCTAGCTCGCCCTTATCTAGATAAAGGACACAATAAAAATCTGGGATCTGTACATCCCTGGAAATTTCAGATTGGCCCCCAAGGCACAGAATTTGAATCTTCCATTCATATATTTTCTATTGCCTAATCTAGTATTTGCAGATAGGGGACAGGTAAGCTTTTTGCTTTGGCAGCTGTCCTTTTAAAACTAATTCCTTGTGATGTAGCTGCCTTCCACATTGGGAATTTGACTGGCAACCTCCAATTTATTACTTACAAGCCACTGGAAAGCATCAGGCAGTAATGATTTCTAGCTGATACTGATCCGAGTTGGATTTGAAGTAATGTCTTTTAAAAAAAGGCACTGTATTCCATCATAACTCTTTCACCGATATCAATGTCTACATCATCTTTCACTGGTTGGTATATTATACATTACATAAACAAGTAACATGCTAACCAAATAGAACAGAATATCCCATTCGCAAATAAATAACTTAGTTAACAGATCACTAGAATGAAAAAAATGAAACAGGTATGCACATTTTTTAGGGAGGGAATTCCACAATACCAGGACAAGGTGATCAGAAGTACTGTGTTTAGATGCAGCATATGGAAAGGAAAGTGGAAGAAGATAGGAGTCAAAGTCTAGGTATAAAATACAAGTAAGAGACTAAATACACCATTACATCAGTCTAATCTTACATTGGCATAACTCCACTGAGTTAGTTAAATGGAAGTAATTCAACAGTGACTAAAGCCCAAAGATCATTATGAAGGCCAAATTCTGTGACTTTTTCTAGATAATAAGGGCCAGATTTTTGAAAGGGTACTTTGCTAATCTGACCCTTCATGCCTTCATTTATTATGAAGCCAATGGGAGCTGAGTTGCTTAGCTCTTTGAAGGATTAGGTCCATGATTCATTAACATGAATCAGCTGACATCTGCAGCAAACATTTTGCCAAATCTGATTTCCCCATCAGTACTGTGGAATTGAACAGCAGGCTACCGTTTTAAAATTGTGCCCTATAAAATGCATGTGCAGCTGATGGGCACACGAACAGGCCTTTACACATGCAAATCTATCTATTGTGAACTTCAAGACTGAAAGAAAGCTCTACTGTGTTATCAGTGAAGGCAATTAACCACTACATCAATTTACACTGCAGAAGTTGGATATTTCTAAAAGTTCTGCTCAAGTAACTGTTTTGGGCAAGTGGCCTATGCTATACAGGAGAGCAGACTAGATGATCATTGTGGTTCCCTCTGGCCTTGGAATCTATGGAAAAAGTATAACAATTATCTAGTTTGCATTTATAAGTTTTATGCGCCTATTTTAAAGTTAGCCCCTCCATTACAATCCTGTTCTTTTAAATAAATAGTCCACCTTGTGAGAACAAACAAGGAAACAGCGGAAGGACAGAAGATTCATAGAATCATAAATTTAAAAAACTTCCATCACCCATATCATTTTAAGTCTTACAATAAAAACAATGCAGCTAAAATTCCATAATATACATAATTATTAAAACAGATCAAAATGCAAATAAAAGTTTTTGCTCCATATTCAAAACTGTCTCAGTGGGGGGAAAAAAACAAATCTATAGCTCACATGGTAAAGCTGCAGAAATAAAGATACAACCAGCCCCCATTTTTCCCTTACAGGTTACTGGGACCATAAACATAAGAAGCAATCCTGTAGCGAGTGGTCTATACAATGATTATTTAATATGCATCAGGATTTGTATCCTGTGTGGTGACACTATCACAGACTGTGTTCCTCACTTTGCAAGCTGAGAGAGCGCGAGAGAGAGAATTTTTAACTTTATCCTGTGTGGTGACACTATCACAGACTGTGTTCCTCAGTTTGCAAGCTGAGAGAGCACGCGAGAGAGAATTTGTAACTCGTCTACACACAGGAGTTGCATCTCTTAACTATAACGATGTAGTTAAAGCAGTACAAACCCCAACTGTAGATACAGTTGTACTGTTGTAACCTGTGCTTATGGTGATATGCTTATTCCTGTAAGGGGATGGGAATAAGTTATATTGTTTTAAGGCAGTGGTTGGCAAAGTTGCAGGTCGTGACCTACTACTGGTTGCAGAATGTCAGGCACTAAGTCACCTTGCTGTAGGGCAGGGATGAGCAGGGGCGGACTGGCAATCAAAATGGGCCCAGGAAATGGGTTGAGAATGGCCCTCCCCATGATGTCACCCCTGTGTGTCCCAGCCCCAGGAGCGGCTTGCCGTGTTTATCCCCCTCCTCCCACCAGCCGGCCGGTAAGGGGGTCACGGGTCCCCATGCCCTTGCCTGGAACGTCTTCTGGACCATCTCTTTACTCTTGCCCTCCCTCCAGGGCCCCAACCTGGTCAGACCAGCAGGGACGGGACCCCTCTTTAGGGCTTCTGGATACCCCTGGCATTAACGGCCACTTGCACCGACCGTGACGGGGAATCCGGGGTCAATCGGGCGGGGGGGGGGGGGCC